ATTATTAATATAATGACTTACTGTAAAAAATTCTGGTGATAATCTATGACACTCATTGAACACACGATTAATCCTGGCCTCATTCCTGCCGGTGACCACAACATAGGCGCCTAAACTGGCAAACAGTTTGACAATACCGGCGCCGATACCACTGTTAGATCCGGTGACCAGCACTACCTTTTCACTGAAGTTACGGCTCTCGCCAACTGATAGATAATCATTGATATTATAATCAGCTTTTGTATTGTATAATAAGTTTAACAACAAGATAGTAAACACTACTTTCATTTTTATTATTAGTTTATGTTTATGTTTTTATTTAATTAATTGATACATGTGCAACATTTACATAAAATTAATTATTTATAATTATTAAATTTCAAATGCTGCTACACAATATTTAAAGAAAGTACTAATTGTAATAGCATAAGAATTAATAGCATAAAGTAATAATTTTATAAACTGTTATTTTGCATTAAATCTAAAATCAGTAGAAATAATAACCAAGATTTTACATTTATAATTAATGCTTAAGTGAAGTAAATAATTTAACAAGTAAATAAGTAAACAAAATAAATAATTTATATGTCAGCATAATTTACAATGTATTAAATATTTTCATCATAAGAATATACGTAATACAGAATTTACAACAATAATCGTAAAACTCATAATAAGTAATGGGAAACCATTGCCAACACCAGAATCCTATGTGATCTCCAGTGAGTCTCTCATTCTCTCTCATTATAAACAACTTGTCTCTCAAAGTAAGCCTTGTTTTTGTCAAAAACGTATGCAGTTTTGGACAAAACATGTGAGCAGTTTTGTGTACTTCAGACCACAACCGGTTAAATATAATGATCATATTAAACGCGTGAATGGCCACAAATAGGCACAGGCATCGCCAGAACATGGTCGTTTTCCGTTGACTAGCCAGGTAAAGTAGAATGTGCTGGGTCAGCGTGACCAGCAAGTAAATAATAGCTATTACATAACGGTACACTTGGTTTAATTTAACTATATTATGCGTGATAAAATGGTGTTCGCATATGGACTTGATGAATACGTAAATATTACCATGCTGAGCGCTAAAGGTAACTTTCCGGTTAATTTCCCGCAATTGATATATGATATACGTTACGGCCGTAAATCCCATGACATACCAAGCGATGCAAATGGTGTAAAACTCGCGTACAGTTTCGTAGGTAATTACTGACCAGAATATCATTATAGTAATACTTTTACCATCATCAGCATTAATGTATGCAACTATTGATAAGCAAACAAACAACATTGTTGTAAATATTACCATCGTGTAGAATAGCCACTGTTTAATGCATTTAGCTGCAAAATTGACCCTGTACGCAAATTTCGCGTTATTAACCCGATTTAACGGATTCGACTGTTGTTTGTGAATTATCATGTTTATGAAGTCTATAACAAATAAACGTCGATTGTGTTCAAAGTACACAATTAAAGGCAAACCCATAACCGGTATTGTAACAAAAATGCACAATAAAATTGACACAATTCGCGAGTTTCCTATTAAATGATTGACGTTTGTCGTAAATTCTGTCACGAGTTTATTATCTGGAAATGTGGCCATGGTGATACATCTCAACAAACCCAATGTGGTAATTGTTTGTGTTATGAATAGCCGGTATATTCTGTACTGAGAATAGTGACCACCATTGCAATAGTGATTAAAATTATTTGCCATAATTACCCGATTATTGGCACAGAATTTGTCCATTACTTTCAACGCTGGCAACGGATCGCTGTTTTCATTTTGAATATATTGTATGTGTTTTTGCAAATTAAAACCACCTCGCCTTATAAAACTGTTTTTCATATTAAGGACTAGGTTAAACATTTTGTTTGTTAATTAATTAACTTTTTAAATTATTTTACCGTTAGTTATAACTATGATTATTACTAGTATGGTTTTAGAAATATAACTACTAATATGTAATGTAAAATCATCTAATGTATTTTACTTTTAAAATAAAATGATATTATTAATAGTAATTTATATTAATATAATTTATATTAACTTTTACATTATCAATAAATCCAATATATTTTTATGTAATTTATTAGTAATATAACAATATTGATTTCTCATTAGACGAAGAAAATAATATTTCAATAAATATGTACTTTAATTGCGTGCTATCATTATAAGTCAATCTTACTAATAAATCAATATGCTACTATTGTAAAGTACATAAAATATAACATTTTACATAATGGTAAAACTTGAAATAAAGCATTTATAACCATAATGCATGACGACCTTTTAATTAATAAAATATTAAATTTAGTTACAAAAAGATTATCATTTAATTAATCAGTACAATCTTGTATTGTTATAACTCTGCTGCGGTATATACGGTGGCGGGTCATGGGTTACCGGCATATCGGGTGCATAGGCCGGGTTGCTATGATTGTAGAGAACAGTAGTGGGCGAGCCCTGGAATGAATTACCACGGAGCTTTATCACATATATAGCAATACCAATGATGACCAATGCAAACAGGGGTATCAGCGCTTTGAATAGAGGGTTTGGGTGTCGACTGGATGTCGAGTCCACTGACTTGTCGTTAACCGGAATCGACTTTTTATTTGTCTGTTTCTCGAGAAAACGCCAATTAAACTCGAGGTAATCGGTTTTGACAGACGGTATGAAACACATGATTGTCCCGTTAATGTCCGCGTCAGCGTTCGGGTGCTCGGCGTTGACTATCCGAAGTAATACCCAGATTAATTACAGAATAAAAATATAGTACAGTATTAAGATATAGTTATCAAGTAATTATTTCAGTTAAACACTACATTTTATATTAGTTTTAACTAGATTAATGTATAGTTTTTCCTGAGTAATTTGTATGTAAAAATTCTATTAAACTAATAGTATAAAGGTTTAATTGAAATAAATAATATAATGTAAGATTAGGGGGAAAGGGGACTGGAAACAAAAACATGATACTTACAGCAGTCCTTGTTGTAGATATGATAAAAGCCTTCGTCATGGGATTTGCCGATCCGTACGGTATGGCTATTGAAGTGATGCATCATTTTATACCATCCGTTGTCCAGTTTGTGAAATATGTGCCAGAATTTGGCCTTTTTTACATCGAGGTCTTCAGAAATGGTTCCCGTTTTGCCGAACCATATGAGGAATTTGCTGGTCCTCTGGTTCTGTATAGCATAGTATGTGTTGGTCTTCAGCTGTAACTCATCCCCAGTGTTGCGGTCTATGATAGGCACCGGTCCTATGGCAGGGAAGGGTGGGTTTAGAGAGAGAGAGAGAGAGAGAGAGATGTAATTATAATTTACATTTTACGTTGGCTTGTTGAATTGTAAAAGTAAAATAATTATGATGTTTAAGTTTTGTATTTATTTATATATTTCATAACTATTTTAAATAAAAAAATTATGATTAACATCACAATTATTTTATCATATTTACTTTCTACAATAGCATAATTATTTACCATTCTTATTGCATATTACAAAATTACATGCTAAAATTATGTAAATTATTATTACAACAATTATTATTGCCTTCATTTTATAAAATCCAAACACAGTTTTGCTTAAAATATAATTACATAAACAGCTCTGAAAACAAGAAAAATAATTTTTACAATTAAACAATAGTATTGTTAGCTTCATTGTGTTTTTACATTAGTCTATTATTTTGAATGCATGTGCTTTTAATGCAAATAATTATTATGTTTATTTTGTATGTGACATTAATTACCTTTTATATGATTCAATCCTAGTTAATTAGGTCTGAACCACACTTTCTGACGTAAAACATTAGAGTTAGTGTATTATTTAAATTAATTAATAAATACATACAGATAATTAATTTAACTATAGTTTAGTTACCGGGTTTATTTAAAATTTTGAAATCAAATAATATAAATAATTAGCTTTATAGATAATTTTAAACAAATCATTGTGCAAATAAATTATTTAAACTTAACAAAATAACCATAATAGTAACTTGTCCATGTTATAACGTGTTACGAATAACATGTTACAAAGTGCTAGTTTTGTTTGTGATTCCTTTGGTTGTGTTTTTGAGGTTTTTGTTTATCGGGTTTTTGTTGAGGTTTTTGTTTATCAGGTTTTTGTTGTTCAGGTTTTTGTTGATTAGGTTTTTGTTGTTCAGGTTTTTGCTGAGGTTTTTGTTGTTCAGGTTTTTGTTGAGGTTTTTGTTGTTGAGTTGGTTGTTGTTGTGATTGTTGTTGTATTCTTGGTGTGAATTTCCAATTATAGTTACTGGCATCGGCCCCCTGGGCGGGGGGCTGACACCAAATATAACCATCGGCGTTCCAGTCGCAGTTCGGATTGTCGCTACCATGATCTATAACAAAAATACATAAATGACATATTATACAAAAAACAAACAAAACTATCCATTACTCACCCATAGGACAGTCCTTGTTGTAAAACCAATAATAACCAGGGGCATTTGGCGCCACGGATACATGGGTGACGTGTATACCGCCCGATCCGTGAAACATACGATAATAGTTGCCGGTGGGTTGTGTGAGAAAGGTGAAATTATGCCAGTATTGATTATCTTTAGGGTCGGGTTTGTCGGCAGCGATGGCCCCTTTTTGGCCCCAAATGAGCCATTTTTTAGTCTTTTGATTTTGAAGCGCGTAATCGGTTAACGTCTGCAGCGGTAGAGCTTTGCCTGATTTGTAGTCAATTAAGGCGTCTTTCTTTAGGGCTAATGATCGGGGTATTAGTGTGTGTGTGAGGGGTGGGATGGGGTGGGAAGTGGATAAGTATATTGTTAGTTAGTATAGTAAATATAATGAAGATACTTCAAATTGTGATAACAAATATATTTAATATGGAATGTGTCAATACTTTAAACTTTTTAGATTTGATTGCGAGATCATTTAATTAATGAATTATTTAATTTTATCTTATTTGTTAATTTACCTTGATCAGATGAATGAATTAAAATAATCATTAACAGCACATTAATCAAACAAGTTGTGTGAATATTGCACATAATTATAATTGAAACACCGTTAAATAAATAGACCTTATTATATAATTTTGAATTTTCACTATATGATATTTAAATTATTTTTTAAATTATAATAATTTTTCTTTTTTATAACTGATTTAGTTTTTTGATAAGATAATAGAATTTATAAATACCTTGTTTTGGCGCAGATTTAATCACCCTGAACACAATCACGCATATATTTATTACTTTTGGCCCATATTTGCGTCACAAATTAATTTATCGCATGATGGTACTTTATTTCACTAAACAGTTGTGTTAATAAAGATCAGGTAGATTTGTGCTCGCACGTGTTAGCTTTATTATACTGTATGTTTATTAACAAACATAACCGTGTTCAAATTTCTCTTTAATTTATTGTGTGACAAGATGTTAATTAAATAATATTTTTAAATATTTAATGTACCGTAATGTTATTGACAATAACTTATTGTATTACTAACAGTAATTTACCATTGAACTATGTAATTTTACTATAAATCAAAATATACGTCTCTCTCTCTCTCTCTCTCTCTCTCTCTCTCTCTCTATAACATTAATTAATTTATTAAGTATTTTATTAATTAAACATTAAAAGATACATATTTAAAATAAACAATTTCACGTTTGAGTAATTATTTTTTCAAACATTATTATTTTTAATTACGGTAATATTAATTTAATGATAATTAATTATAAAGTAAGATCGAAAAAATAGTACTAATGAATCATTAGTAATGATAAACAATATAAATGCTATATTGCAAAGTAGATTAATCTATGGTATGAACTTTATATAAATTAATTGACAATTTATTATATTTAATTTTTAATTAGAAATAAATATGTTATAAAAACCCATAAGGTTATTTTAAAATTAATTTAAATTCCAATGTTGAATCAGTTAAATTAAACGCGCTATTAGTAAGACTGTTATAATCACAGTTTGTAAACTAAAATTTGTATAACTATAATCTTAATTCATAATTACATTGTAATCGCTAAATATGACCGAGAACAATGAATTTGATATAAAAGTAAGATTCATTATAATATTACCATAATTAACACATATTTTCTTTATAATAATAGCTTTTGTTAGAGCCGTACGATTACATGAATAAACTTACCAATAAAGAATTCGGTACCAAAATGATCAAGGTATTAATTGTTGTATATCCTACTAAATTAGTAAATTATAAATTATTTTTAAATATTAATTACTGCAGAAATATATAATTTTAATTAAAATAATTAATTAAGTATATCTATAAAAAATAAAATAATATTTAATTAGAAATGTATAGTGAAATTTTTTACATTTAAAAATTGTGAATAACAAAATTAATAAATATTAATTAAATTGTATTACAATTATTAGGGGTTCAATGTATGGCTACGGGTGGACAACAAGGGTGAAGAGTTTGCATTGGAAATGTTTAAATTAATATACAATTCAATAATTTTGTAACAATTTTAATTGAATTCAAACACATTATTATAAAAATACATATAACTATAACAATACTAAATTATACTACCAGGGTCGATGACATTGCGGACAATTCAGATCTACGTAGAGGTGAGCCCAGCGCTCATATGGTGTATGGTATCGGACCGACCATTAATTGCGCGAATTATGTCTATTTCCTGGCCGTAGAGAAAGTGATGAATGAAATGCCCGAACATTTACGGCTAAAGGCTTGTCAAGTGGTCACTAATGAGTTTCTTGAAATGCATCGGGGACTGGGTATACAGCATAGTCTCTCTCTCTCTCTCTCTCTCTCTCTCTCTCTCTTCAGTCGGACACATGTTATGGTCTCTCCAATACATTTCCATTCCTTACCACGTTTTATATAATACATGCATAGTATA